TACGCAGTTTTATTAAGTATTTTTGTGCTGCAATTTCAATCTCTTCTTTGATGGTAGGTATATTTAGATCTCTATGGATATTTTCATTATGCATGTACCATGGTGCGCCCGTTATAACTCTTGACGTGTTCGGTTGGAAACTTTGAGTTATATCTATATTCGTCGCGCAAGGTGTGCCCCATAACCGGATTCTATACATCCATAACGGTTTTATAGTTGCATTATATAAGAGGACTTTGTTGCTAAGGCTAAGTCCAGCCTTCTTGTTTAAAAGCCAATTTAAACTGGCAGATTTGAGTTTAAGCTGAATGTTTTTAGAAACTATGTGTCGTCTCCAGGTTAAGCTCCTATCCAAGTGGATTTCGAGGTACATATGCGGGATGAACACATTGTCGAGCTTAACAGTAGAGCACGTTTTTGGCCTTAGTGGAAAATGGATGTGTTTGCACTTGCATCTGCGGCGAAGAGTATGTACAATATTGGTCCAAGAACATTACCTTGCGGAACACTTGCCGATGTGAATCACCTGTTGGATAAGTAGTATTCAAGGATATTGTGGAATGTGAATTTTATGAAAGAGACTATACCACACTTTGTCAAATACTTCCGCCACATCAAGAAAAATTGCCGAGCAATATTCTCTCAATTCGAAAGATTTCTTTATTTCATTTGTTATACGATTTACTTGTTCATCAGTCAGGAATAATATCATTTTGATGGAGAAAAGGAGTAATTTTTGATAGCAGCACTTTTTCGAAAGGTTTGGATAGGCAAGGCAAAAGGCTGATTGGTCTATATGATGACGGCAGGGCTGCGTCTTTACCTGGTTTATCTATCAGAATTAACTGCAACTTTTTCCATATTTGTGGGGAATATCCTATCCATTAAAATAGTACTGAAAAGTTTTGCAAAAAAACGAGAGCAATGCCACGTCTTTTCCAACATCATCAACTGAGAGATCGCGTTCAATAGCTTAGTGCCCCGCAAGACATCCACATTACCTACCTACCTACCTACCTACCTATGTACCTAACTATAATACATAAATAGTATGTACATACAACATATTTGCAATTTAGTGTGGGTTCATCAAACCAACAAAAAATGTTGGCTAGTTTCCTTAAGAGTTCTATATATTCTGCCTTAATAAATTTACTAGACAGATAAATTATACAGTTTTACAAAATCTGCTTACTGCAGTCGGCTAATCAATTTCTTAATAAGGTTTCATAGAACTGTTTCTTCTGCCGTCGGCAAATTGACGATTCCCATGCGGTATAGTATACGTACATACGTACATGTATTATGTTTATATATATTAATATATATACACATATATATAAATTCTATTAATTTTAAAAGTTAAAATGGAACTATTGACTCTTTTAATATGGATGTATTGTAATTAAAAACGTTTAATATGTACAAGCCAGTAAATAAGAATGACCATACATACATATGTATGTATGTATGTATGTTTGCTTGTATATTATTAACTCCTTGAACAATCGCCAATTTCGAAGAAATATAAAACAAATATTCATGTAATTACATATGTACATATATTTCTAATAATATTTAATTTATTTATAATACATTCATAAGTACATGTATAAATACATACATACGTATGTACATATACACCAAAATGATCGTAATGTTTGTACTGATATGTGCGCACATACATACATACATATCTATGTACATGCATAGTATGTACAAATAGAGAATTTTTATAAGCATACTCGTATTTACCGTACTACTTAGCTAAATTCAATTCGTACTCCCTTCGTTCGTCTGCATACTAGTTGATAATCAAATACCAAACATGACGCCATATGGTTGACCATATGTAAGCGAATGAAAAACAATACCTAGCTAATGTTACGTTAAAATTTGACGTAAAGTTAACATAATAGGCAGATTGCTATTTCAAACATGACTTTGCTTGCACCCACCAATAACATTGCCCGTTTATATGGTTCTGTTAATCAGTTCTGGCAGAGAATGTTCACTAACATTTACGATAACAGGCTTCTGAGACCATCATTCTGAGATGTTATTATTAATTTTCAAAGTAATTCCCCACATTTGTGGCAAATTATAAACAACTCCGAAAAATGCATTATTATTCAAAAGAAAAAATATAATATTCCCTAAACATGAAATGTGAAAAAATCCGTAATAATTGTAATTTTATGAGGAAATTATTTTTACGTGTATGTACATACATACATACATGCATCTGTATGTATATACACATATGCATTTGCATACATATGTATGTACCGAAACATATTTTTGCAAAATTTTTAAAACAAACAATCGCAAGTTCAAGACTACATCCTTATCTTAGCCGCATTCTAATGACAATAATTTCTACAAATTATGTTAATATGAATGTATGTATGTATGTATAACGATGGTAGCTGAAATGTGCGAAGATCACCAAAATATCTACACGAATTAGAATGTTTGGTATTAAGAATCTCTGTGGAGTTTGACTGTCGTTTAGAAGAATTCATTCAGAGGTATAACAGAATCAGATTGTTGTCAGAGTCAAAATTGAAACCGACAAAATTTTGCTTAAGGGGCTATAAATATATTCAGATTATTGATTTGCATATTGGTCTCATTTTCGAAACAGAATTTGCACCAATTGTGTATGTTTCAGAAACCGAAGTATCGGTGTTAGTGTCAGAATTAAATAGGGCAGTTAATCGTTGACAGAATTGTCTGCTCACTTCTTTGCAATCGAAATTTTAATTAAAATGTAAGCCACGCGCAATGGGGTTTACAGCGAGTAATTCCTGGAATACATGTAGCGGGCAAATCAACCATTCAAAAGCCTTTAGCATTTCTATTATAATCACCGAGACTGTAGGTTGCGCCAAGATGATATCTCAGTTATTTCCCACAGACCGTTGATATAATAAATAGAAGTATTCGGCCAAAAATCGCAGTGTTGCTGCGGGTTGGATTTATATCAGCAAATGTAAGCAGAACTCAAATTGTAAATTGAACTTTCATCCACTTGGACGGCTCAAGCTCCCTTAAAATCAAAATGATTTCACGGCTGAAGTCTTTTTATTTTTATTTAAAACTCACAAATTTGTTAAAGCCAGCACAAAAATTAAATTAAATTACTGGGTTTTTTGTGCAAGTTTTCTTCCAGCTGATTCGAAATTCGGATTTGCGTAACTTCGAAGAAAGTAAAGTCAAGTCGGTTTCATAACACCATTTCAAACAGATATTAATTTTCAATTCTAATAGATAAGCAATTCTGAGTCGATTTTTATAACATTTAGTAGAATAACCTTACTGATCCAAATGTTCTAGATTAATTTCATTACGAATAAAATAAGCTAACTTTTCAAACTTATTTATATTTAGTTTAAGGCTATTTTTTTTTCAATATCCAGTACAAATAATAAAATCATGAGAAGGATAAATAGCTTAATTAAAAATAAATATGATTTGGGTACGATTCAGTACGGCTTTAAATTAATTAATTAAATTGAACGTATGAGCGTGATTTAATTTCATTTCGTTTTAAATGAATTTCATTTCATTAAAATTCAAAATGTCATTTAATAAATATATTATAAATATTTTTGTATTAATTTTTTTTATTTATTTTCATTTCTGTATATTTAAATCATAAAAATGATGTACAAGAATTAGACCATTCTGTACCTAACAGACAAGCCAATGCATCACACAGCAATGTTAAATCTACTAACATCACTACCAACACATGTCCGAACGTGTTCTCAACACAGCCGAGCGACCAGCAGAGTAAAAATGTAAACAAAAGTGGGTCGTTATGATGCTGCTCCGCTGCTACTCGGAGCAGGCAGAAAAACGAAGCAGAGAGTAAATCAACAATTGAGCAGGCAAAAAATATTCATAACGCACCATACCGTTATCGCAGTAGCAACGCCAACACAACCACCACCAGCCAATGCTTACCCCAACAACACAGCACCTTTCCACCACCAACAACGAAACAACGCAGAGCAGAGCAGAGTATTTTAACAGAAAGCACCTTATTAGCAGCAGAGCAACGGTGCTCGCTCGCTTAGGAGGATTGTAGTGAAAATAAATACGAAAAAATAGTAGCCATTGTAAACATCGGAGTACGTGGCGTACATATGCACATATGTATGTATGTACATATGCATACATATGCACTCCTTATTACCGTTCGAGTCGCAGTTGACGACGACAGCGTAACAAATGAACTACTCTGCGACGTATGCACATCTATTGGTGCAAGATATTGTGTTCAGGGGTAGCAGTGCGATGTCGACGACGACAGCGCATAGGTGGAAAAAGCAGCATTTGTACACACACATACATATGTACATTCATAAATACGGATGTATGTAAATACAGTAAATAACGCAGCAGATATATATGAACAGCAGGGCCACAGCTATTAAAGCTGAGACATCAACAGATGTTAAGCACAACGGTACTGTGCGTAACATAACGGTGCGAGTATAGTGTTTTTAATTTTTTGTGTTTGAATTTTTTTGTGAGCCGAGAGAGTATTTACAGTGGCAAATTTGTTCCTCTATAATGTACTATTGCCGAGCATAGCACGCGGAATATAGCAGAAATTTAACAGAGCGTCGTGTGTAAATGTTGGGGTTTTTTTTCATAGTCGATTTTATACTGTCGGTTGTCGGAGTGGTGGTATGGTACTTCTGACTGCAACAATGGGTAGTTTTTATTGGCGGTGGTGTGCTACCATTCCACCATTTGATTGTCACTGCGCTCTTTGGCTCGGTGTTAAAAGTTTGTCTGTGTTCTTCTGTTTATCTCAGTAGCGACACACGTATACGCATCCACATCCGAAAGAGTGGTAACGGCTACGTCGTCGCCAGCGTCAGCTACCAATTGGGATAAGGTGCCGTTGACGATGTTGATATCATTCCAATTGTCGACTGCAAACGCCAGCAGTGACGCAGTATGGCAGCATGCCTGCGACACAGCCACACAAAAATCATCACAAGATATTGTAGTAGCGACTAGAACGTCGCGCGGTTAACACACGCGCTGTTCCCAAAAACTAATTAAATTTGAAAATCACAATTTCAAAATTCTCAGAAAATCAAAGTGTTAAAATTTGAAAGAAAACGAGTAAAGAAAAGAAGTTACATGAAAAATCTTTTGATAGCTACAAAAAATAAACAGTGTATTTGACAAGTAGTAATGCTAAAGCGTACATATATATGTATGTATGTATATATAAAGTGAAAGATGCGTTGAAAGAAAAACTTACAAAAAACGCGTGTTTCGTAGAGTTGTTTTTTTCGTGCGGTTTGAGCACACAAAAATTTTTAAGAGTGTCACCGACACACATACAAATATTAGTGCATAAATCTACTAATAAATAAACGGTTTTATAAAAGAAATCAACAACATTTCTTAAGTGTACATTAACTAAAATCGTATTTAATCAGAACAACACAAACACATTTAGCACATACTGTGTTTACGCGATAGTGTCCGCAATTAACAAGCGTTAAAGGCAAAAACCTCTAGGTAGTTTGCTTATCTCGAAAACGCGCCGCCATTTTACAACGCAATTCAACACGACAACAACATAAAAAACTTAAAAAATACTTATTGAAATATTTAAAAAAAAAATCACGCATTACTACTTACAGCTAGTAAGCAAGCTAACGGTGTTAAGAAAAAACAAAATAACCAAAATTTAAACGCAGCCATGCCTGCATCAAATGAATCCAAGTGAAACTGTTTGCCGTCGCTTTTGCTAAATAATAAATATTTATTTAGCAAATAAGCTTAAATAAGAAATAAAAGAAAAGCTCAAAACGACACAAGCAAAGCAACTTATTCCAATGTTGTCTTGCTTGGTGCCATCGTCGTCGTCGTCCACATCACGTTTTGGCCAAGAGGATAACATTATTATAAAACAAAGTATGCCATCGTCACCAGCATTTGCCATGCAATGTAAGTAGAAAGTAAAACCATGTATCTAACTAAATAAGCTAAATTTTTTTTAAACTGAGAGGATCTGGTCAAAGCTGGGAGTCACTTATATGATTTTATTTGAACCGAAAGATTTATTTTATATTAAAATCTTTCTAAAAACTTCATTCTTTAATAAAGGAATTAATTGCTTGGGGACACTGTGAGTCTTAGCTGGGATGAGTTTATTTTTAATAATTTTATTTTTTTATCCTTTGTGTTAAAAATTTTATTTTTTTATTAATATCTAATTTTTTTATTTATTTATTTTCTTAATTATATTTTTATTAATTAATTTAATTTTTTTATTAATTTATTTAATTTTATTAATTAATTTATTTATTTTTATTAATTAATTTATTTTTTTATTAATTTATTTATATTTATTAATTTATACTTTTTTATTAATTTATTTATATTTATTAATTTATACTTTTTTATTTATTTATTTTTATTTTTTTATTTATATATTTATATTTTTTTATTTATTATTTTTTAATATTATTAATTTCTTTTTTTTCGATATTCTATTTATATTTATCAGACATATTTAAATGGATACACACATATGTACCTAATTATTGCTTAAAAACTTTCAAGTTCTTAGAATTCTCGTCTTGTGAGCATATGTATAAGCTATAGTTAATAAGCTTACTTAAAAAAGCTTGAGTTTTCCAAATAAAAAATATCTTTTTTTGTTAGTAAACCCAAAATTCTGCTTCAAATTCTTTAGTGCTGCTTTCAAAACTGTGCTTTTCCCAAACTATCAATCGTCAATTGTAATCTTATACACATTTACTTATGTATATAAATTAGCTTTCAAGAAGCCGCACATCCTGTCGTGAGATCATGCAAACAGTGAAAAATTCTTTCTAAAAAATTTATGTATGTATGTATATATGTGTGTATGTATATGTATATGTTTATAAAACACCTTTTCTTATAATCTAGACTTTATTAGTTATTTTCTATATGAAAAAAAATCACACTCAAAGTAACCTAAAGCCTCGCGTTTCCTGTTTATGAAAATAAAAATTAAAAAAATCCCTATAAATTTAATCTTTTCTGAGTCACATTTATATATGTACTCGTACATACCTAGTACATACATATGTACATAAATATGCATATTTATGTACTGGCAATGATTTGATCAATGCATAATAATAATATGTTTTCTTTTTTTCCGCCATACAAATTGTTATCAAGAAATTTTGCTCAAATGCAATTGAACCTTGTATAACCCGTAAGCCTATAAGACTGGAATTTTTGCATTTAGAAAAGTATGAATGTGTGAAATGGGTGCATAAGTACATAATATAATATACATATATATGTACATATGTATATATATTATTAAATGAGCTCATAGCTTTGGGCATATGCAATATATAAAAGTATTTAAAATCGGTCTATCACCTCCAATAGGGAATATACTTTATTTGCATATATGTATATATATATATGTACATACAAATATAACTATATTTATATGCATTAATTTGCTTATACATTTTTGTCATTGCGATTCATTCATAATTCTTGAAAATTGACAAAGTAATAATACATACACACCCACATCTTAGGCTAATTCTAATAAAGTACATTTTTACATACATACATACATTTGTATGTACATATTATTTATTTATTAACTTGCACTTGTGTTTTGATATCAGTTGGTGTTTTGCTTAGCTTGTTTTTTTTTTAATTAACTCGAAATTATTTCATATTTTATAACTGCAGAATTTTATGTATATATGTACATACATATGCTTGTGTACTTCCTAAGAAATGGATTTCTCATGAAACTTATCAGATTTATTTACTCAGTCAAAGTACCTACCATAGCTCACGGTATTTAACGGTATTAAGCTGTACATCTAAATATAAATTAATATATGCATACATACATATGTATTATACACAATTATACAATTAAGTATGCAAGGCTGTGTGAAATCCTTTTGAAAACAGCGAAAGAAATTTCCGAGTTCTGTATAAAAATGTAATAAGTGATTGGAAAAGTTAATAAAAATACATATTTTAAGCATGAAAACCTTTGTGTCATTGTGATTTTTTTTTTCGTGGTGCAAAATTATAATAAATTATTTAAGTAACCCAAAAAAACATAAACAATCTTTTCTTTGACATGAAACTTGTAATTTTTTAGCTGCACAGCGTAGCATTGTTAAATTATTTAGTAAAAAAAAATATATTTTTATATTCGTTACTATTAAAACTTATAAAAATAATCAACTAAAAAACACTATACATTTTTTTATTTATAAATTTGTATTTTTATTATAAAATTAAATGTATCAATTTCAATTTATTTAAAGCGTTTTATAAATAAATTTGGAAATTGCTGTATATTCCTTTTAAGCTTTGAACAAAAAAAAAAAGCAAATAAAAAATGAATAAATTAGTAAATTACCTCTAAATTTATTACACAAAGAAAGACAGCAAGACAGAATATTAATAATAAATTATTTTGGAAAATTTATATCATTTTATTATAAATTAACTTAATTCAAAATGTTAATATAATAACAAAAAGTTAATTTAACATTAATTCAAGAAAATTTATTTTTAATTATTTCAAAAATACTTAAAACCTCTCCCTGCAACTTCTTGCTTTTAAAATATCTGGACTCTTCCAAACTTTACAGTGCTCGACTTAAATAGTTAAAAATAGCTGCAATGCGAAGGTCTTCAATAATTTACATATAAATTAAATAAAACTTTAAATGAAATATATAAAAAAAAAATCATTTTATAATACACTGTCACCACTGAAGTAAAAAAATAATAAAAAAATAAAAAAAAAATAAAAAAAAAATAAAATATATATAAAATTTAAAAAAAAAATTATTTTATTATACAGGGGCATCATTATAGTAAAAAGATAATAATAATAAATAAAAATTAAATGTGAATTTGTAAAAAATAAAGCTGTAACAACTAAAGTGAAAAAATTAATAATAACTAAAAGTTAAATAAAAATTTTATAAAATTTATAAAGAATTGATTTGATTATACAGTGTAACAACTAAAGTAAAAATTAATAATAATAACAAAGATAATTTAACAAAAAACATTTTTTATTTCATTATACAGCGTAATCACTCTAGTAAAAAAGTAATAATAATAAATACAAATGAAATATGAATTTATAAAAACTAACGCTTTAACACTACGCTAATGTGAAAAAAGTATTAATAATTGTTAAAAATTTATTAAATATATATAGACATTTACTATTATACAGTGTAAAAACTAAAGAAAAAAATTATAATAAAAAAAATTAAATCAAAATATAAAAATGGCACTATAAAAACTAAAGTGATAGAATAATAATAAATAAAAAGTTTATAATATTCATAAAAAATTGATTTTATTATACAGTGTAACAACTAAAGTAAAAATTAATAATAATAATAAACTAAAATATATAGGATTTAAAAAAAAATTATTTCATTAAACAGCGTAATCATTCTAGTAAAATAATAATAATAATAAATAAAAATTAAATATGAATTTATAAAAATTACGCTGTAACAACGAATGCGAAAAATTAATTATTCATCATTATTATAACTTATATATATAACTTATAAAATTTATAAAAAAAAATTATTTTATTATGCAATGTAACAGCTAAAGTGAAAAAAATAGTAACCATAAATAAAAAATAAATAAAAATTTATAAAAAAAAAAATAAAAAATTTACTATTATACAGTGTAAAAACTAAAGAAAAAAATAATTATAAAAAAAACTTAATAGAAATTTAAAAAAAATTGCGCTGTAACAACTAAAGTGAAAAAATAATAATAAATAAAAAAAATAAAATATATAAAAAATTGATTTTATTATACAGTGTAACCACTTAAGTAAAAATTAATGGTAATAAATTAAAATTTAAATAAAAAATTTGTAAAATTTATATAAAACTGATTTTATTATACACTAAAAAAGTGTAATCAAACTAATTAAATGAAAATTTATAAAAGCTTTTTTTTATTACACACTGTGATAAAATATTAATAATTTAGTTTTATGGAGTTTCAAACTCATAAAAACCCGCCTTATATTAAGAAAAAAAATTCAAAAAGCTGCAATGCGAAAGTCTTCAATACTACAAGATAAGTATTTATGCATATAAAAAATTTAAAATAGATAATAATAGTAATAGTTTCACACCAAAAAACTGTAAATCTTGAAAATCCTCATGATCAAAAGCTAAAAATGTGTTGCTAAACATTTAAAATTTTAATTTGTTTTTATTTAATTGCTTTATTATATATTTTGTTTTTTTTTTTAATACTTATCTTATTTTTAATTTATTTAGAAAAAAAGATTACAGGATTTAAGCTTAAAATTTAAATTAAAAACAGAAAAGTTAATTGGCAGTAACAAAGTATTAAGTTTTTTTTTAACTAAAATCTTTTTTAATCAACTTTTTACTCATCTAACTCCTAAGTGGTGTACCCAAAAATCCATTTAGACACCATACACACTCCTATGAGTCATACCCAATTCCCTTTAATTTCTTTAATTTTATACCTCAGCTCCTGAAGGCTCAAATTAAAATCGAAAAATAAACATTCTACCTACACAAATTAATTTTAAGCACGTTGTTTTTGTTTATATTTATAATATTATGCTTATACATACATATGTATATCAGTATATGTATGTGCACGTGTTTATATTTCATGATCACCGCTAGGCCTCAATGTGTGGTCCTCCAACTCGACGCTAAAAGTATACATACTTATACTATGTCACTAAGGGACAATAAGCAAATTTATTGTTTTTTTTCTCATCTCTGTGTGTGTACACTACACTCAAATAAATATAATAACCAAAAAACAAAAATCGTACTCCTTCCAATAAATTATAAACACGAAAAATTCACCTTAAACCGTAGCTCGATCATCGGCATGCATCAAATTACAGATCGCAAAAAATAACCAAA